GCTTTACAGATTTACAGCTTAAATTCATGAGAAAGTCCTTATTTTTAATATGTTTGTTAGCTGAGTCAAAATAAAGGAGGGAAACTGTGTTGATACTCTGATACCTAAATTTCACAAATAGCTTTACAGGAAAGCTATTTCCCTCAGCAAATTACAGTTCATGTTGTTAAACAGAGTCTTATTTGAGATGTATTACTTTATTTTTCAATTAAAAGTGGTTTTCTCCTACTTGTGTGTCTAATTAAAATTTTGTCTAGAGGGAAAGATGATAACATTTAATTCTCATAACTCACCCTAGAAGACATGTAGGAGATAACCCATCATTTTGCACTTAAAAAAGTAGAGAGGAGAAGGCTACCACATGCTGATGCTGCATGTTAGATTTAACTTGATAAACCTATTTTATCTTTATTTCAAATGTTAATAAATTTAGAAGGCTCTTTTGTCAAGTGTTTATGCAGCAAGATTTTCAAGCCCTGTTAGCAGCCAGGCAGAAAGCTAGTTAACTGGCTAATAAATATTTTTATATGGAGAAGTTACCCTTAAGTAAGATATCAGGGTTGTAAGAACATACTGCCAAGCACAACGTCACATTCTCTTGGGCTGCTTAACAAGTATCCATTATCGTCATTGAATCATAACTTTTATAGAAATCCATTAGGGCTGCCACTCAACGAATAAACCCTTTGAGGAGGTTATGGCATTTTAGCCTTTGTAGAAGGTGTGACCCAGAAAACATGTAAATACATGCAGTATAAAACTCATAATAGAAATATGAATAAAGTACTCATTCCATGATACTACTTAGTGTCAGTACAATTTTCTGATTATGCAATAAAATTTTGAAAAGTGTGGAATGGAAAGGGAGTTAAGCAATTAGAAGAGAATACAGGAGCTTCAAGAAAATGCATTCCCCTTAATCCAACATCAGTTATCCAATCCTGGGACTGAGAGCGGACAGTCACCACACTCACTTCCCTGAAATGGGGGGGTCGGGGGGGGGCAGGGTGGGTATTGCATTATGTACTTTAACTGACAAACTTACATCAAACTATATAGTTTCCTATATTAACAGGAACTCTTGAGAGTATAATGCTGAGGGGTCTACCATTACAGAATTCAACATGAGCAGGGCAGGGGGGTGAATGTGGAGGAGACCTAATCAGATGAATTACAGCCATTCTCTGCAGGGGAAGAAGTAACACATGAAACAGGGATGAGGAAATTTCCTGTCAAGTGGCAAAACAACTCATGATAATGTACTCAAAGTGAACAATTGCCTGTGTCATCAGAGCTGAGATCAAGAAAAACCAGTACTAGAATCCCAGAAGTCCCTGTTTCTATTTGCAGTCACAACTCGCCAGCACCACTAACTTCTAATACCAGATTTTGCCTGCTTTAATGCTTTATAGAAAAGGAAGCACACAGTAAAACTTATATTTGACTACTTTTGCTCAACATTGTTTTGAGATTTTTATATAGATTTTAATTTAGTCAAAAGCAGCCTGCAGTAACTTATCTTTTGTCCAGAACAAAAATGCTCCTTTCTAATATTTGTGACTGTTAGATGCATTGTAAGTGGTTGTTTCACGTATGCTGGCACTTGTAAGTGCCCGAGCTAGGTAACAACTGAATGCCTGGCCTTCCCCTCATGATAACTACAGAAAGACAGGTGGACAGTGTAACCAGTGGCCTTCCACAGCGTTTGCCTGACCTTTCTCATAAGCTATGTGTAGGATGTTCTCTTTCCAAGGCGTTTTGTAGGCAGTGGATTTTAGTAAGTATGTAATTCCTGGGAATTGAGCCCAGTGCGACCAACAGAAACTAAAAGGGGAGTTACGGTGGATACACAAGAAGAGATACTGGAAGTGTTTAAAACAACCAAGACTAGTTTCTCGGGTTAGCCTACTTTTGGTAATCCTGCAGGTTGATACTTACATGGTTTTGGACAAATTACTTAACCTCTCACCTCTGGGTCTGAGGACTGAGTGAGTTTATACACAGTGTTCTTGGAACACAGCTTGTTATCTTCAGTGTTACTGGATATTTAGTGCATGTCTACCAACTATGTTTATATCTGTCAGGTTCTCTCAAATCCTCTTAGGAAAGTCTGGGATAATGTTTTTTCTTTCCTTTTAGAATATAGGTTCTAAAAGGTTATTAGTCTTTGTTATCTGCAACTTTTGCAAGAACCTCTGAGACATTGTGTTTGTCTCCAAGAAGTACGAATACTCCAGGTAATGAGGACTTCTAAGTAAAAATAATATATTTCTGGGACACCTGGGTGGCTCAGTTGGTTGGGCACCTGACTCTTGATCTCAGCTCAGGTCCTGTGTTGGGCTTCACGCTGGGCGCAAAGCCTTCTTAAAAGGGTGGGGTGGGGGGAGCACGTGGGTGGCTCAGTAAGTGAAGCGTCCAACTCGGTTTTGGCTCAAGCCATGATCTCCTGCTTTCGTGTGTTTGAGCCGCCCTTCAGGCTCTTGGCCGACCCGACAGTTCAGAGCCTGCTTGGGATTCTCTCTCTTCCTCTTTCTTCACCCCTCGCCTGCTCATTCTGTCTCTCTCACAAATAAATAAAACTTGAAATCTATATATCTTTTAGAATAATCAGCTGATAATCACACTAAGTAATCAAAATCATGCCCAAGATTGATTTATTGATGGGAAATTTATTTAACCCCCTACACCTCTCCCCAGTTAATATTATTGAGATATAATTGATGTACAGCACTGTATAAGTTTAAGGTGTATAGCAAAATGACTGACCTATATTGTGAAATGATTACCACAGTAAGGTTAGTTAACATCCATCATCTCCTATAGATACAAAAAGGAGGCTTTTTCCCCTTGTGATGAGAACGCTGTGATTTACTCTCTCCACTTTCAAAGATACCACTGCAGTGTCAACTATCATCATTATGTTGTGCATTATCATCCATTTTATTTTTAACATGCTTGTTTCTTAGCCAATAATTAACTTGAAGAAACCACTGTCTAGGAGAAAACTTATTTTGAAATATTAACAAATCACTTGAATAGCTTAAGTTTGGATTACTCACTCGGTTGTATCGAGAATATTCATCTAACTTTGTTTTTCAGTTTCTAGATAGAATTGATATAGTATACTTTAGACACATTTTTTTTTAATGTTTATAAAGTGATTTTAGGTTCATTAGAACAAGAATTCTCACCCTTTTTGGTCTCAGGACCCCATTACACTCAAATTATTGGTGTAAAAAAAACTCTGCCATAGATTATGATCCTAAAGATAAGAAAACAGCAATTTTCTAAACATTTACATAGTAAATATTCATAGGACATAAAAATAGAACTTAGCACACAATATTCATAGAAAAATATTCATAGAAAATGCTCCTGGAGAAATGACACACTTCGCCTGCCTGTTGTCTATTCCTCCACCTAGAATCTAAGCAAGAGGTTTCCTAACACAAATTTATGTATTTATTAATTTATTCCTTTAAAATAAAAAACTAACATCCTACAAAGTAACATCCTTAAGCAACTTGATACCCAGTTTCTTTTAAAAACTTCATACTTCAAGTAAAAGTCCTGATTATCAATCCACACATCCCTCTACTTTCTCCCTGTTTGTAGACATCATTTCTGTGTCCTAGCTGGAGCTTTTTGAAGTTTAGATACCTCAAGAAGGTGCTTTAGGGATTCTGCAGAAAAACAAGTATTGTATACCAGATTAGGGAGATTTAAATTCCCAAGAACTTTTTTCTTTCCTTTTTGTGTCCTGCCTTTTGGAATTTAAGCTATGTCTTCAATTGGCAACCTGCAGAACTCCAGCAGTTTATGGGGAAGATTAAGCTGAGCAGAGATAATGGTTCAGCAAAAAGAAAATAGGAATTAAGTCTGTGAAGGCAGTGCTGTAGAGCTGAGTGGAGGAGCACTTTTCTGTGCTATTGAGACTTTCCAGAATGTTTTTGGGCTATGCCATGATGACATCACATCTAAGCAATCTCCACAAAACAACTTCATAATTCTCTATTTTAATTGGGTCAAAAATAACAGGATCACCACCCCTGAATTTGTGCTTTTGAGATAGAATTCACATTACATGAACTTCAGGTGTCATGATGAAAATATTTGTACATATTGTGAAATGATGTCACCACAATAAGTCTAGTTAACATCTATTACCACACACTGTTGCCATTTTTTTCTTGTGATGAGGACTTTTAAGATTTATTTTTTTAACAACTTTCAAATATACAATAGAGTATTAGCTATAGTCACCATATTGTACATTATATCTCCATGACATGCATTTTATTTTTTTAACGTTTATTTATATTGAGAGAGGGTTGGGGAGGGAAAGAGGGAGACAGACTGACAGAGAGAACCCCAAGCAACCCCATCCAACATGGGTGGGGCTCAAACCCACGAACTGTGAGATTTTGACCTGAGCTGAAATCAGGAGTCAGACGTTTAACCAGGTGAGCCACCCAGACACCCCGACTTACTCATTTTATAACTGAAAGTTTGTACTGTTTGACCACCTTCACCCTTTCACCTGTTTTGCCCATTCCCTACCCTCCTTTCCCACCCCCCACCCCCCCGCCTCCCCGCCCGGCCCTCCCATCTGGCCAACACCAGTCTCTTCTCAATTTATGAGTTTGGTTTTTGGTTGGTTTGTTTATGTTTATTTATTTTGAGAGAGAGAGAGAGAGAATTCTAAGCAGGCTTCACACTGTCAGCACAGAGCCCAATGCAGGGCTCAAACTCACAAACTGAGATCATAGCCTGAGCCAAGATCAAGAGTTGGATACTTAACTGACTGAGCTACTCAGGCACCCTTTCTTTATTTTTTTTAAACTGAAGTGTATTTGACATACAATATTAGTTTCAGGTGTACAACATAAGCAGTTGATAATTACATACATTATGAAATACTTATGATAAGTCACCATATACTTGTTGCTGTTTTTTTAAATATATATATAGTAGTCATTCTAACAGATAGGAGGTGACACCTCATTGTGGCTTTGATTTGCATTTTCTTGATGATTAGAGAGCATCTTTTCACCTACCCATTGGCTATTTTTTTGTCCTTAGAAAAACATCTATTCAGATCTTCTGCCTATTTTTAATTGGATCTTTTTTCTATTGATTTGTACAAGGTCTTCATATATTTTGGATGTTAAACTCTTATCAGATACATGATTTGTAAATATTTTCTCCCAGTAGATTTCCTTTGCATTTTATTGTTTCCTTTGCTGTATGAGAGCTTTTGTTTGTTGTAATCCCACTTATTTTTTGCTTTTGGCATCAAGTAAAAAAAAAACTATCAACAAGACAGATATCAGGAGCTTTCCATTTATGTTTTCTGTCAGGAGATTTATGGTTTCAGGTTTTAAATTTTGAGTTAATATTTTGTGTATGGTATAAGATAATGGTCCAGTTTCCCTAACACCATTTATGTGTTTATTTTTAAAAATTGTTTAATGTTTATTTACTGTTTGACAGAGAGAGAAAGAGAAAGAGAGACAGAATGTGAGTGGGGGAGAGGCAGAGAGAGAAGGGCACACAGAATTCGAAGCAGGCTCCAGACTCTGAGCTCTCAGCACAGATCCTGAAGTGGGGCTCGAACTCGTGAACATGAGACCTGATCTGAAGTCAGACACTTCACCAACTGAGCCACCCAGGCGCCCCACCCCACCACCATTTATTGAAGATCCTGTCCTTCCCTACTGTACCTTTGTTGTAAGTTAATTACACACATGTATGTGTGGGTTTATTTCTGGGTTTTCCATTCTGTTCCATCGTTCTAGGTCTCTCTTGGCATGTCAATACTATATTATTTGATTACTATTGCTCTGTAATATAGTTTGAAATTGGAGTGTGATGCCTCCAGCTTTGTTCTTTCTCAAGATTATTTTGGCTGTTCAGGTTCCTTTGTGGGTTCCATGTAGATTTTAGAATTGTTTGTATTTCTGTGGAAAATGCCATTGGGATTTCAGTGAGGATTGCACTGAATATGTAGGTGCCTCTGCTTTTGCATGCATAAAATAAGAAACTTGCAATATCAGGAAATTTTTTACTTCGTTTCAGGTTAAACATCATTTTCTTCAGTCATTCCTCACAACCTGGTTTTAGTGTCACTTACCTTTCTGGTCTTCATTAGCTGATCCCAGTTCGGTTTTTTTAATGCCCTGAATCGTTGGCTCCTTGACTGTGATACAGTGCTTTAATTTTTTTCTTTTCTTTTTAAGTGTATTTAATTAGAGAGAGAGAGGGAGAGCATGAGCTAGGGAAAGGAACAGAGAGAGGGAGAGAGAGAATCCCAAGCATGCTCCACACTCAGCAAGGATCATGACTTTGGGAACATGACCTGAGCAGAATCCAAGATTTGGCTGCCCAACTGACTGAGCCACCCAGGTGTTCCTTAATTTTTTTTTTTTTTTTGATCAATGCAGAATGATTTGGTACTGTTGTATGATTGTATTAGAAACCATATTGTAATCAAAATTGCTTAACTCTATCAACAATAGCCAAATTATGGAAGAACTCAAATGTCCATCAACTGATGAATGGATTAAGAAGATGTGGTATATATTTGTATATATATATAGTTGTATACACACACACACACACACACACATATGTATATATAATGGAATACTACTTGGCAATGAAAAAGAATGAAATCTTGCCATTTGCAATGGCATGGATGGAACCGGAGGGTATTATGCTAAGTAAAATAAGTCAGTCAGAGAAAGATATATCATATGATTTCACTCATATGCGGAATTTGAGAAACTTAACAGACGATCATAGAAGAAGGGTAGGAAAAATAACAATAGAATGGGGAGGGGCGCCTGAGTAGCTCAGTCGGTTAAGTGTCCGACTTCAGCTCAGGTCATGATCTCTCAGTCCATGAGTTGGGGCCCTGAGTCCAGCTCTGTGCTGACAGCTTAGAGACTGGAGTCTGCCTGGGATTCTGTCTCCCCCTCTCTCTGCCCCTCCCCTGTTCTCTCTTTCTGTCTCAAAAATAAACAAACATCCGAAAAACCCCAGAAAGCATGGTAAACCATAAGAGACTCTTAAATACAGAGAACAAACAGGGTTGATGGGAGTGCGGAAAATGGGTGATGGGCATTAAGGAGGGCAATTGTTGGGATGAGCACTGGGTGTTACATGTAAATGATGAATCACTAGAATCTACTTCTAAAGACAAGACTACACTGTAGATTAGCTAACTTAAGAATAAATTAAAGAAAACAAAACTGCTCGAGTATATGAGCATTGATAGCAATTTATATCAGTTATAACCTCTAAAATGTTTTTCATAATTTAGGACCTCCCATTTATGACTGGTGAATTTCCTTTTTCAGTTTTGGCTCATTGTTGCTACATACATGTTTTGAATTTTAATTTTGGCATTCAACATATTACCTTTCACTCGAAGATGCATTTGCAAATTGGATAAACTAGGCCTTGACCTCATCACATATGATGAAACCAGCCCAGGGGCAAACCATTAAAGACTGTTTTAGTCAGGTTTCATCCATTAATAATTGAGTATGGTTATCAAACTGCTTATGAATAAACTTACATCATCTAGTCTCCAGCTCTTGCATATTGTTCACAAGAGTAACAGTTCTCAATCTACTGGTCCAGTAAATGTGTTAAAATAGGAAATGTATTTAGTTCAGTTTGACTTAGTGACTATACAGTGGGTCCTTTATTTGCTATTTCTAATTGTTTACAAGCCAGCTACTCTAGAATTTTGTCAAGCAACATAATTCTCTCTGGTCATTTCCAGAGAAGTCTGTCTCTGGAAAATTAGTTCTATTAAGAATACTTAAAGGTGACTACATGTGGGATGCTGTATGCTCTTCATTAGTGATGGCTGTATGACTTCAATAGAGCTGGAAGTTTTTGTTTCTTCTGTTATATTCTCAAATATTAGGGAGGACATTCTGGTTCTGAAGAAGTATTTCATGCACAAAGTTCAGCAGTTTGATCCAGATAGGGTGTCTTAGGTATTGAGTGGTTGGTGCTTATTGAGGGCTTCTGATATCATGAGCACAACACTTTCCAGTGCAAGCATGTCTAAACAGAAGTAAAGATTCAACCTCAGGCTTATTCCTTTCATATTTCTGATAAATGACCCTGCGGCTTATTCTGTGAGGTGGCGAAATATGATGTTAAGGAGGCAAGTTGATCTGAGGTTAATGAAAGCTGTAATACAGGAAAGGTTATATTTATTTTGTAACAGTTTGAGTGGGGTTTAAGACATCACATTATTTAATCCAGGGATGGAAATGTGCACATGCAGTCAAGGCGGGCGCCTTTGTTATTCTAAACCTGGGACTCACTGTGGGCACTTGGCTGGCTCAGTTGTTGGATTATACGACCCTTGACCTCAGGGTCGTGAGTTCAAATCCCACGTTGGGCATGGGGGTGCCTGGGTGGCTCAGTCAGTCAGGTGTCTGACTGATCATGATCTCACAGTTCGTGAGTTCAAGCCCCACAGGTTCTCTGCTCAGCTCAGAGCTCACTTTGCATCCTCTGCCTCCCTCTCTCTCTCTCTGCTCCTCCCCAACTCACGCTCTCTCTCTCTCAAAAAACATAAAAACATTAAAATAAATAAATTTAAACCCCACATTGGGCATAGAGATTACTTAAAAAAATAAAATCTACCTGGGACTTACAGGTTTTTCTCTTGTCTTGGCTTTATCATTGCTCAAGGATTATTTGTGGTAGTTCCTTGGTAACATTGCAAATTTAAAAGTGATTATTGTCATAATCATCGTAGATTGAAATTCAGCCCTCCTTGGGAATATGACAGAGTTGGGCCCCCTGCACTGTATATCTTGAGTTATCTGTGGACCCAGATGAAGATAAAAATCTTGATGTGAAGCCAGAGGTCAGTTAATGTATGACCAGTTCAAAAGCGTTGAGCCAAGAGGGAAGAGATAAACTATGGTGCACTGGTTTGGGGATGGAGATGTTCGTCACAGAAGCAGACCCAGAGGAAGAAAAGAAAGAGAGGTATGAGCATGTGGTGGTGTGGGTTTGGCTCAGGTGAACCTTAGCAAAAGTGGATCTCAGAGCACAAGCATCCCTTGTGTTGTTTTCATGCTACCTGATGATTGGATATGAAACTTTCGTGTAGGAGGCTCTCAGCAAAGAGCTGTCCTTGTCACCATTGTCATGGGGTTGTTCCTCTTACACTGAGATGTGGCTTATCTGGAACTAGAGATATGAATTCACATGAAATAGCTATTTACTTGTATTCGTGTATCTTGAGCTTCAATTTCTTTTAAAAAAATTTTCTTTTAATGTTTTTTATTTATTTCTAGGAGAGAGAGAGACAGCGTGAGCAGGGGAGGGTCAGAGAGAGAGGGAGTCACAGACTGAAACAGGCTCCAGGCTCTGAGCTGGCAGTCAGCACAGAGCCCGACGCGGGGCTCGAACCCACGAACCGCAAGATCATGACCTAAGCGAAAAGTCGGACGTTTAACCGACTAAGCCACCCAGGCGCCCCTCAATTTCTCTTATTTAACTAAGTTTATATTAAATATTATTTTCCTTAGTAGAAAAGATGGAAGTCAGGGTTTATATTCAGAGAACCTTAATTTTGAAAAGTCTCTTATTTCCTAGATGGGTGTCTCAGAGCTAGTTAGTACTTGTTTTATTTTACTGTGTTGAAATACTGCTTTCTCTTGGCATCTCTGACACCCAACTCTCCTTGGTTTTCCTTAGACTCGCCTCTTACTCCTCCGCTGGTTCACTGTCTTTGGTAAGTTCTTAAGTGTTAGAGTTGTTGAAGGCTCCGTCCTTTTCCCCTCCTCGTTTTTTGCTGCAAACTTTGTCCCTAATCAGAGATCTCATCTCTGCACATCAATGACCATGTTTGTACAGGTTTCAGGTACCATCTTTTTGTTAACCAATCTCAAACTTTCACCTGTGCCTCTCCTCTGAGCACCAGCCTTGTATGTCTACTCGCTCAACATTTCTGACTACCTCGCAGGCACCTTAAGCTTGCGATAGCTATCTTCTCACACCGAGGTTTCCGTGTTCCAGAACCCAGAATCCTAGTACCTTCCAGCACTTGCCCAAGCCTGGGAGTCATCCTTGGAACTTGCCTTTTCCTTACCTCTCATATCCAATTCATTATCAAGCACTGCTTATTTTATCTTCTAAATATCTCTTAAATTTCTTTGCTTTTCTTCCTGTTTACTCTCGTTCTGCTACCCAAAGACCTCATCCCTACTTGTGGACCACGATCAATCAGCCTTCCTGAATCTGCTTTGGCTCCCCTTAGTACACATGTCCTCGATGCTCTCACCATTTTCTGGTTAAAATCATCCAACGTTCTCGCCAGAAAAAGAAACAAAACAAAATTTCTTTTATTTTTATTTTTTTTTTAAATTTTTGAGACAGAGAGAGAAGAGCACGAGTGGGGGAGGGGCAGAGAGAGAGGGAGACACAATCTGAAGCAAGCTCCAGGCTCTGAACTGTCAGCACAGACCCCAACGTGGGGCTCAAACTCACAAACTGTGAGATCTGACTGAGCCACCTAGGCACCCCGGACTAGGCTCCAGACTCTAAGCTGTCAGCACAGAGCCCGATGTGGGGCTCGAACCCATGGACCACGAGATCATGACTGAGCCAAAGTCGGACGCTTAACCGACTGAGCCACCCAGGTGCCCCAACAAAACAAAAGTTCTGAACATGGCTACAGATTTCCCTGGTTTGCTGCTTCTTTAACCTTCCAGCTTTATCTGACAGCACCCTCCTTACTAGAGACCAGGGTGGGATAGCCACAGATTCCCATCCCCCGAAGCTGCCACACACATTCCCAAGACGCGTTCCCAACACAGTCTTCACACGTGCTGTTTCCTGAACATAGGACACCTCCCCCCTCACGCCCTTCCCCATCTAGTTACATTGATCTTGGCATCTGAAAGCTCACTTCTCGCCTTATTTGCTCACAGGCGTCCTGATGTCCCTATGCTGCCAGAGCACTCACATCCTACCTCCCCAGCAGTTGTTCTCTGTGCCTCCCACGTAAACGAAGTCGTTACACTTGAATCCTTGTATCAGCATCTACTTCTTAGGAACCTCAAACCAGGATATGCAATAAATCTCACAGTGTGTCTCAGAGTGTGGTACCTGGGCCAGCAGCATCAACATTATTCAGAAATCTGTTAGAAAAGCAAATTCTTTTCTCAAGTTTATTTTATTATGTTGAGAAAGTGAGAAGGCATGAGTGGGGGAGGGACAGAGAGAGACAATCCCAAGCAAGCTCGGCACTATCAGTACAGAACCCAACACTGGGCTTGAACCTCCAAACCATGAGATCATGACCCAAGCTGAAACCAAGCATCAGACGCTTAACCAATTGAGCCACCCAGGCTACGTAGAAAAGCAAATTCTTAATCCAGACCTCTGATACAGTACTCTGAAGCTGGGAGTAGCAATCTGTATTTCAACAAGGCCTTGAGGTGATTCCCATGCACGCGAATGTAGAACCACTGGAATAAGTTATCCTTTCTGTCCCAAACAGAAAACCTGTCTTTTTTTCCCCCTTGTTCCAAATATATTTCTAAAAAGTAAAAAAAAAAAAAAAAAAAAAAAAAGATGGGGTGCCTGGGTGGCTCAGCCAGGTAAGCATCTGACTCCTGATTTTAGCTCAGGTCGTGATCTCATGGTTTTGAGAGTTCCAGGATGGCGTTGGGCTCCGCACTGACTCTGCTGAGTCTGCTTGAGATTCTCTCTCCCTCCCTCCCTCTCTCTCTGTCCCTCCTCTATGAGCACTCTCTCTGTCTCTCTCAAAATAAATAAACTTAAAAAGTTAAAAAATAAAATATTCAGAATTTTAAAAAGAATCTTAGCTCTTTTCCACACTAACCTGCTTGAAGTGATTCTTAAGAGTTTTAGATCATCACTGCTATTTATTCTTCTACATACATCCTATGGACAAGATTGATCGCATTAAAAAAATTGATGTCATGCGGATATACAGTTACTTTGATTTCTTTATTCCCCCTTTCCTTTCTCACTGAGATCAGTTTATGAGAATATTATTAAACTTTCCTTTCTAATACCTTTTTTTCTTTTTAATGTCTTTGGCCTAGGGATCATGCTACCTTTGTCTGAACTCTTGAAATCTGATTTTTTCCCCCACTAATTTGTGAGTCTTTCTCCAGAGAAATTTTCCTTTAAAGATTTTTTCCCCAATCTATTAAGACATTTCATTCAATGTTCTTTTCCATTGTACCTTGATAATTTGACAATCTGCTTTATTTTAGGAGATATTTATTCCCAACAATGTTATATATTTTCACTGTCTTCCAATATTGAATCCTGTGCTTCTGTAATGAAGTTAGACACCTACCAGTTTAGCTTCTTGGGTCCAAATATTAGTGGAGTTTTAAATACAGGAAGATTAATTTCATCAATTTTCTTCTATAAAAATGGTGGCAGTTTTCTTGTCCATGGGAACGCAGGGACGTAAGGAGAAATATTTAATAACCTTAGAACTTGAGTGTTATTTTTGAAAACCATAAATTGTGTACTGTTTTGTTCTTTGGCATTTGCCAATTTTTGCACACTATAAAGAGAACAAATTCCTTAGCATAGAAATCAGTGCAATTTTCCACTAGTCTTTATCACACAATCTACAATCTGGTTTAAGTTAACTGTTTGAAATTCTTCCCAAATACTCTTCACTTAGTCTCCTGTCTTTTTTCTTTATAGTACCTCTCCTTTAAATATTTTTTTTTTACATTTATTTTTGAGAGACAGAGACAGAGTGTGAGTGGGGGGGGGGTGCAGAGAAAGAAGGAGACACAGAATCTGAAGCAGGCTCCAGGCTCTGAGCAAGCTGTCAGCACAGAGCCTGACGCAGGGCTCAAACCCACAAACCTTGAGATCATGATCTGAGCCAAAGTGGGACGCTCCACCGACTGACCCACCCAGGCGCCCCTATAGTACCTCTCCTTTAAATGCCTTTCCCATACTCATCTTGAAATTTGATTCATTCAAGCTCAACAATATAAATTAAATGTTTTTTTTATTGATTTTTGAGAGAGAGACAGACAGAGCATAAGCAGGGGAGGGGCAGAGAGAGAGGGAGACACAGAATCTGAAGCAGGCTCCAGGCTCTGTCAAAACAGGGCTGGATGCGGGGGCTCGATCTCACAAACCACAAGATCATGACCAGAGCCGAAGTCAGACGCTCAACTGACTGAGACACCCAGGCGCCCCAAGCTCAACAAAAGAAATTAAACAGCGAATCTAGATATGTTCTAGTGGTTAAGATGCATCAATGAAAAAAACAAGAATCTCTGCCTTTATTAAGCTTATATTCTGCTTGATCCTTAGGCAGAATTTATCACTTCAATAACAATTTATTTATCCCTCCAATAGAACATTACAATCAACTTGTATTAAGTCTCTTTCCCAACTAGACCAGTTGTTTTCAACACTGCCTGCTTGCTAGGATCACCTGGGACCTTTGGAAAAACAATCATACTCTGATTCCATGTCCAGAGGACATTCATTTACTTTGTGCGGGAGGCCCACATGATTCTAATATACAGCCAGGGTGAACCACCCACCGCATCAGAATAGATTGAAATTTTTGAGGGTATGATAATGCTGCTCACTTGGTGTTGCCCAACATAACACGTGGCAGGCAACCAATACCTGCTTGTTGAACTGTTCTGTGGCAGTAAGGAGAAATGGTGCAGGCCTCCCCTCACTGAGGGACTAAACGTGGGGATAGACAGTCTCTACGGGGACTTGAAAGAACTGGATTCATTTTAGCTAATTATTATGATGCATAGTCAATAAAAATTAATGGGTAATATCCAGCTCTTCCTGTAAGTGGTCTGAAGTGATCTCTGAAAATAGTTTGCTATTCATTTCACCTGAGAAACCCTGCAAAATGATTCAAATCAAGAGGTTTAGGTCTTTGTGTTCACCTTAAGAACACACACGAAGCCTGCCCAGACCACCAAGGGTATGCATATCTGAAAAGTCACCAAGTATCTGAAGGATGTCACTTTGCAGAAGCAATGTGTGCCATTCTGGCGCTACAATGGCGGAGGTGGTACGTGTGCCCAGGCCAAGCAGTGGGGCTGGGCGCAGGGTGGGTGGCCCAAAAGGAGTGCTGAATTTTTACTGCACATGGCTTAAAAATGCAGAGATTAATGCTGAACTTAAGGGTTTAGACGTAGATTCTCTGGTCATTGAAGACATCCAGGTGACAAAGCCTTTAGTAAAGATGTGCCGTAGAACTTGCCAGGCTCATGGTCGGATTAACCCTACATGAGCTCTCTCTGCCACAGTGAGATGATTCTTACTGAAGAAAAGCAGACTGTTCCTAAACCAGAAGAGGAAATGGCACAAAAGAAAAGATATCCCAGAGACACCTGGGTGGTTTGGTCGGTTAAGTGTCTGACTCAATTTCAGCTCAGGTCATGATCTCACAGTTTGCGGGTTCGAGCCCAGCATTGGGCTCTGTACGGATGTGGGGCCTGCTTGGGATTCTCTTTTTCTCTCTCTCTGCCCCATACCTCACTCGTGCTCACTTGCTCTCGCTCAGAATAAAATTAAAAAAAATTTTTTTAAAACCCATTATATACATAAAAAAAAAACCCTGAAGAAACTGCCTGTCCCCAACTTGTGCACATGCACTCTCTCTCAAAATAAATAAACATTAAAATAAAATAAAGATTACATGGC